CCTCGTCCCTTAAATATTTCCATTAACGGACCACTTAATTTAAGTAGTCCCAGAAAATATTTTAACTACGTCCTGGGTATGAGGATAAACTATATCTGCCAGAATGGCCTCTGATCGGGAGGATTTGATTAGCGTGGAACCAGCTCTTAACTGCTGTTGTTCCCAGGTCCACTTTGACCTGGAATGGTAGCACCTGTTAGGGTCCCGGCTATGGGAAAATAGTGAACCACCACTCAGTATAAAATTATAAAAATACATTTTTATAGTAAAAATAACAGTAATACAAATATAAAAAAAATTACCAACGATACATTTTAAAACAGAATTACCAACAATAGATTTATACAGCAAAATAACTAATGATACTTTTATCTGTAGTTGAAGCGATAAAACTGTGTTCAAAATATTTAGATTACTGCATTAAATAACCCACATAGATGAATATGCCGATAAACCAAATCAAATCAAAACACTGGTTCATCCTGACCCGGGGCGGTAGCACTTTTTAAGGTCCCAGGTATGGGCAAATACTGGGGTTAACATACTACGAAAGTATAAAAATACATTTTTATAGTAAAGATACCAGCAATACATTTTCATAGTTAGAAAAATACCAGCAAGGCATTTAAAAAGAAAATTTCCAGTAATAGATTTTTTGTAAAATAAATTACTATTGCTCCCAAGAAAATTAAATTTCGACATTGAATGACCCATAAGGAGTTGATATGCCGCTAAACAATCGACTCAAAATCCTCATTTTTAGACATTGTCATATTATCATCAAACGGTCACCCATCTAGGTACTGACCAGACTAGACATTGCTTAACATTTTTGTAAAAGAATTTACTAATGGTCTCAAGAAAATTAAATTTCGGCATTAAATGACCCATAAGGAGTTGATATGCCGTTAAACGAACAAAGATTTCTTTCTTATTAAATTCCATTCGTTTGAACATACAAACTAGGGATAAACGATTATTTGTACTAATTTTAAATCTGCCTTTTTGTCATTTTCTGTCTTGATCATATAAATTAGGAAAAAAGATGTACGCCTCGACACATGACGTGCCATTCAGGGTAAGATTGCGCGCATTGTACTATATTAACTGTCATAATTATATTGGGTGCCCGTAATATCATGTTCAACAAAGAAAAGAATACTGAGCTGTTACGTGACATCTGTCCTCCTTTACGCCAGCGAATGTTGGA